GATGAACACCTTGCTGGGGTCGTGTGACCCCAGTACTCTTTCCTGCCATGGCAGGGGGTCGGACTAGATGATCTTCTCAGGTCCCTTCTGACCCTAGAAACTATGAAACTATGAAAATACATGTTACACTGCACCCTTGTTAGATGCAGCATTTGTACCAAACAGCTCCATGTTTACAATAACCTACCACTCCACCACCTCCATCCATCACACACAAATGAATTATTCAAGTCATGGTCTCCTTCATAGAAACCACCCCTTCCCCCTTTGCATCCCAGCAGTTCACCCCCACAGTACTGTGCAGAGGAAAGCAAAAAGTCAGATTTTGCAGTTTGAGGAAAACAGTGTCATGAAAATCAACCTTAATTGCTAGGGGAGAATCCAACCTGGCTGTTGTAAGGAAACCCGCCTTGCCCGGGGGCTATTACCTCTACTACCGCAAACCCCTTGATGGGCCGTGACATCAGCGGCTGGTTGTCCAGTGACGTGACTGTGTACATCGATCCAACATCAGACACTGATGCTGTTTCTACGTTGTCCAGCTGTTCCCCCAGGCTGCCAAGGCTGCCAAGGCTTCCAGTGCTGCAAAGCGAAAGGTCTAAGCTTTCCTGGCTGGAAACAACATGAGGTTCTAGCAGTCCTGGTGGAATGGCCAACTCCATACCACCTTGAAACTGGTCCACAGAGATATCACTAATTGTCCGAGAGATGCCCTGCGAGCTGCAGAGAGAAGCCTGGCTTGTGGAAGCAGAAGCACTAACGCTCATTGCAGGAGTGACGCTGCTGGAACTGCTGATATCCAAGCTGTCGGCACTACTCGACACAGTTGGTTTTTCCAACTCAGTCCTACATTCTCCTCCTTCGGCTTTGTCCTTGACCTTTTTCGGGTCCTCTTCCTGCAGAGGGATGTAGATTTCATCTCTGAAGACCCCGCCATGTGCATTACATGCCTTCTGGATTGCACTCCTGACAGTACTCTCCTCCAAGTGAGTGGGTATTCCAGAAATCACCAGTAACCGACTGTGAGCTGTTGGACCCACTAGTGCCTGACAAGCATCAGCTACAGCATCATTTGTCACACCCAGCCCTTGGGGGTCCTTTTTAGTCAGGTGTCTGAGAATTATAAGCAGGGTCAGTGCCCTGTGAAACCATAACATGTCCTCAGGTTTGCTTCCTCCTATGCTGAGCATCGTGGTGTCAGTTTCGGCAGTTCGGGCTGAAGTCCGTTTACCTGAAGTCGACGTCTTTTCCCGCTTCATTTTGACTTTCTTCCTCTTTGACAGGAGGCTTGGACTCTGTGGGGTCTGCCCTGGAGATGAGGAGGACGAGGAAGAGGAGTCGCTGAGATTTGGTGCATTTGTTGAGGACATCACGCTAGCTGTTATGCTCATATTGATTGGCAGAGTCACTTCTGCTACAGCAAGGCAGACTTCCATCAGAGCATGAAAATAGGTTGAAAATCTCCCCTGGTCAGCCACCCCAATGCCAGAACCACCGCACGCATTTCCAGACACCCAGTTTTGCGTTTCTTCATCATATAACTTGTGCAGTTCTGACTGGAGAGCCATCAGCATAGCCAGGCAGGGGTTCAGCTGAAGTGCAATGGAGGAAGACAACCCAGCTGGGTTTTTTTTCTGTTCCAGGCTGTGAATTTTGCGAAGCAACTCAGCCAAGAGATGAAATAATAGTTCCTTCATGCAAGCTGCCATGTCTGTCGTCCAGAGAAAGTTTCCTAAACAGGATGACAAACAGATTGATCTTGCTGCAACTAGCTTTATTATGAGATTTGCAACAATGCTGTGCAACAGATACAACATCAACAAGACCACTTATAAAAACCCGCTGGCTATTTTCTTCCCACAGAGACTCTGAGCAACCAACAGCTGCATGATACCATGTAGGTATCACAACGGCCGCTAGGCAAAATGAACCTAAATACTGCACTGCAGAAGGCTTTAGATGTAGCAGCTTTTTAAATTTTGTTTTAAAAAGCAAGAGTATAATCAGACCAATGGTCCCTGAATTCCTGTAATATTCCATTCAGTCTCTTTTGTGATGTCAACATCTTTTCAGATTTTATGGTCCATATGTTTGAAGCCACAATGCATACGTACACTAAAAAAAAATCTTGGCATGGGAAGATAGAGAGGTTGGCAGCTCTGTGGAGACAGCTTGAGCTTCTGGGCATTTGAGGCAGCATAGGAGGCCATTTGTGATAATGAAAAAAAGCAAATTACCTGGATATTTATCTTAAATTGATGAGCAGCGAAACAATTAGTGTTCAGATTTCCCATCTTTAAGGTTTTATGGTTATCTGAGGATGAATGTGGCAGTTTACTTGCTCATTAACACCTAGCGTCTCAATTTGTCTGAAGGCTACTGCCGCATCAGTTCATACTCTGTTCATATTTATATTTTTTCCTCCCCAGGGCAATCTCGGGTTCTATGGCAAAAAGTTGTGAATGCAGAACACACGAGGCTCTGGTTACTAAAAAAAATAATCTTTCACTGATGACACCAGGAGAAAAAAATTTAAAGGTGCTTAAATGACTATGTTTTCAAACTGACAGGGGCACTTCTAAATATGTTATCCAGTCATGTGAAACGTGTCAGCTGAAAAGCATCATGTGGGTTTTCTGGTCTTTTTTAATGCTGAGTTTATTTATAAATATTCAAAAAGGTGAAATCACATCAACAGACAGTTCTGGACTTTTAAAGACCAGATTCCATGACAGTGACTCAAACATGTTTAACTACTGTCATTTTTCTTTTTTTGATGAACATTGCATCTGATCACATTCTTTCACTGGTGCTTATTGGACACTCAAGAAGTACTTTGCTCTCACCTAAAAATTCCACTACTTGTAGAAGAACTGACACAGGAATAGTATCCAGTTCATCTTCAGATTTGCCATCACCATCCTCTGATTTCCAAGTTATGACTTGTTCAGTAAATGCCATAGCCAGTGGGAATTCAAGGGGGACAGAATGTAGGACTAACATGGCTCCAGGAGGAGGAGATACCCCTAGACAAAATGACAGGAAGAAACAACCTTTACAATTTGATTAAAGCAAATGATAGTGCCAAGCTGAAGGTAAAAATACCACCAGGCCAGGTGCATGTTTTCATGGAAAGCAGGGCTAATGGAAAATGTTATACAGGAACCGGTGATCAAAGATGATGAAACTTAAGAATCTTCTGAAGGAAAAGGGCTCTCGCATACACATACTCCTCTCTAAACAAGTCAAGCTATTTCTCCTGCTGGTTGTACAAGAAGAATGCCGTTATTACTATTAATATAATAATACAATATAATAATATAATAATAGTAATTACTGTTTCATTTTGCAGCAATGAGTGCACCACCTAGGTTTTGTATTTTGTTCAAAATGCAGCACAGCACCAAGCCAGCTCAGGGCTGAACTTAGTTGCATATACCACTTCCGGCTGTGTGAATTAGAGACAGCCAAGGAATATACAGGAACTGACAGGCTTCTGTGAACTGATGCTATTACACTCTGAAAAGGCAACACTAAGATTTCCAGAAATATAAAACCATGTCTGGTTACTGTTATACTATAATCCTATTGCTCAATATGCCCCCTCTAAGTTCATATACCAACGAAGTGCAGATCTGGTACCAACGAAGGGAATTCCTAACAGATGACACATCGTCCACCTATTTTAGAAATGGCAAAGGCATTTACCTAGTTTGATGTGGACTTTGTCAGTGGGGATGATCACAGAAGGGTACTGGTTGGTTGTTGGGGGAGGCG